GATGAGGGAGTAACAGCAGTCTCTCTGAAATGGAAGCTGCTCAAACTGGAAGTGAAGGATGAAACTGTGACTTTCCTACACTGTTCAGACTGACGTTGTTTGATAAAGGAACATCCATGAAAGCACTCAATCTTAAATACAATATTCTATTCAGGGAAAGAAAAAAAAAAAAAAAAAAAAAAAAAAAAAGGAGAACCACCCCCAACACAGAACCCCTCTCCTCCCCTGCCAGCCCATAACCTCTATGACATTGCTTTGCAAATCATTCAACTACTGTCAGCCAGAAGGAGCAAATTCATGGTATACTGCAGGAATGCAATTACTGCAATCTCTTAAAAGGTTTAAAACCTCTGCCCACTACACTGTGGAATGGCACACACGCACAAATAGTAGTACATGGCAAGTAATCTTAATTTTTTGTTAACATTCAACTATTTGTGCTGTCTCCAGACAAAGCACAATATTAGAACACTATAATATTAGTAGTAATATGCTGCCAAACGGGATAGCAGCACTGGATTTAAAAAACAGTTTATGAATATAACATCAGGTTTTTTATGTAATGCAAATTACTAAGAATTAAGGTACACAGTTATTCAATAATTCTGAAAAATACAGGTACTGTCCTTTAAAAAGACTGATTTTTCTATGCAACTTTTTAGGTAGTACCAAGAAGTTCAGCTTCATGTCAGACATTTCTTGGCCTGAATGTTAATTAGTGAAACGTTAACTTTTTAACTAGTTTGCTGGGGTACATCATATAGTAGAGTATAATTAGCCACCACCTCAACCCTACTGATAAGTAAGGAAGCCAGTACTACTAACTAGACAGGTTACATCCTTTGCTCTGTTTACTTCAAAATTTAATAAAATCGGCTATAGTTCTGACATAAACACAGTCCCAGAAACACAGCAATGAACGGGTTTTATGGCAGATATTTACAGAAAATCCAAAATAGAAAACTGCTCACTTTTAAGTCTGCCCACAAAAGATAGTCTACTGCTTTGACGTGTAAGCAAGACTTGATAGTGAGAAACCGTATAAAAAAATCTGTACATTTAAGGAGAGAGAGGGAAAGCATATTTGCAATAGAAGATGGCATGACCCCATGCTTCCCAATCTTGAGCAAGAAAGGTGACTAACAATAATTGACAAAATAAATTAAATTTCATTCTACATTCACGTCAAAACACAGCTTCCGGAGTAAAGATTGCTTCTGACTGCATTAAAAAAAGAGTTAAATAGTAGACTCCATGGGAGATAAGCTGGATTCAAAGAAACAGTGATTAAATCAACACACAGATACTACCACTTGCATCTGTTTTCTTAGCTGACTGAATCTGAAGAAACTGTCAACTATCAGAGATTAATTTTCTTTACACTTTATAAGAAATTAGAATACCTAGCGTTAATTGTGCTTTACCCTTCATCCTTCCAGAACAACTCCTTTGTTCACATTCCCAACATATTATGGGCACTGGAAGCATACCTCCACAGTCATCTTATGCCTGGTGCCTGCAAAGAACCTCACACAAAACCCTATGGAAATAATTCCTCCATTACTGAAAGCATCTGCAATTCTGACTCTCACTCCCTAACAAAGTGCCCAGTTTAAATCCTGCAAAACGAAGGCAACAGAAGCATCTCAGTAAATCTAAACCAGCATAAGGGCACCTTTTTCTGGTCATTTATTGATCAAGTAATTTTTCAAACGAATCACACTTATTTCTACAGCCTTTCAGAAAGAAAAACATTTCACTGAAGAGTTTACTGGGAAAGCCTTAATACCTCAAAAATACTTGAAGCTGTGACTCAGGATATAACTATTATAATCAGTTCTATTTTGAAGTCAGAGTTTCTTTTAGGATGAACAATCTGTCTTTGACTGGTACTTGATTACCACGAAGTATATATTAGACATTACATGTGTCATGCTTATGTTTTAAGGAAAATGAGAGTTAACATTGAAAAGAAACATTTCTCTAAACCTTGGTCAAGGTAAATACAATGTTGTTATAAAACAAATTTAAAAATACTATGGAAACACAATGTATTACATGGGCTGGATTAAGAGAAAAGCCTGTGACTAGTCACTTCACTGCAATGATGATGGAATTGGTCCATTTTTACAGTAGTTGTGTCATACTGAACAACACCCTGGAGACAGACAGACATGAAGTGTTTATTTAAATAGACCTAGCATCCTTGACTCCATCACTACCTGTTACTATGCTCTTCAATGTTAAATACAGAAGTATATTTTGCTTATATATTAATTTACCTGAATTTCCTTGGTTTCCACTCCTCTTATAAAAACATTCTTTTAACAAGCAATTGTACACTGAATTAAGTTTTAAAATAATCATGAGCTGTGCATCTGAAGAGATGCTGTTAATCCCGGAATAAATCCAATCGCACGTCTGCCAGAGGAACCAAACAGTGGAAGAAATGGAAGAGTAACTGCACAAGCCCACACCTCGATGGAAACAGAAGCTTCATTAAATGGACTCAGAACTGAATATGATGCTACAATATTTGCCCAAACTCCGAATAAGAGACATACGTAGATACACAAATATAGAGAAATAAAGAGAGATATATACTGCATAGGAGTAGCACACAAGTGAGGGTTTTCTGGCATTCTTGTGGCAAGTTCTTCATAAACAAAGGAAGCAGCAATTGATCTTACATGCCTTAGGTGTCTGTACAGTATTATTTTGATTCTTGTACATCAAAAGCATTCAGAAGATTATATTCTTGACTCCTGCAAATTTAATTAACAATTTTGTATGCAGTTCCTCTTTTGTCAAACACAGACCTTTTAAAAAAATCAGTTTCCATTAATAAGGCCCTGTTAGCATATCAAAGTAATTTGACAAACAGTAAACGAGGCTATTTCACAAGACATTTGGAGGGTAACTTTATTCTCTTTTCAAATTACATATGATAGCATGTTTTCTTTGATTAAAAAGTGAAGGGAATGTGAGTGTGAATTGCTGTTAGAATTTCTCATTACTGGAATTGTCCAGTTCCATCATCATCCTTTGGAAACAGAAAGGTTGCCAAACTTTAACTGCAACATGATGCAGAAGTGATACTGCATTGTTGTGCAAGTTTCAGGAACTGACAATCTGAACTCTCTGCATTTACCCACATGGTCCTGCATTATAAAAATGTGTATCAAAATGGAGCTGCCGGAGTTCTCCATATTTGTTGTAATTTCACAAAAAGGCCCTCTTAAACCACAAGTACACAAAAATAATCGTGCAAGTGACTTACAAAATACAAGGTCTTCTACTCAGATACACCAGATGGATCAGCTTTCTCTCTGCTGCCAGTAAATGCTGAATGTGTTACTTTCAATTGTATCTATAATCCTAGGGTTATAATATCCTCTATCATGTTTCGCTGAATCTTTGGAATTCATAATCAATGAAAATAAAGCTATTTTCCAAAAGACTTTGAAATCAATTGTGCATTCAAAAAGGTGTTGTTTTTAGCTTTGCTGGGTTTTCTTGTTTGTTTTTTTGTTGGCTTTGGATTTAATTAAAATGCTAAACTATCTAAATCTCGAAGGTTCCTTTTTAGCTTCCAATGCACACCCTTTAGGCATAAGTTTCCTATTTAAGTGAAGTGCAAATACAAACATGGAAGTGAAAGAGACAATTACTTCCCAGTGTAATTGTTACTAAACCATCTGCCAATTTCAAGAGTGCTAAAATTACATATAAAAAATACATAAAATGAAGGCCATTAAAATGTAACTATGAAAGTATTTTATATCATGAATGGCATTTGCTCATCATTTTTCTATTCAAAGTAAACTATAAAAACTTTCACTTTTTTCTAGCTGTTTTTATTTTCTGATTCTGTGTTCTGATTCCATGAGCAGTACTTGAGTACTGCTGCTACATTTAGAACATATACACTAATGGCAATCATAAAAAAAAAAAAAAAAAAAAAAAAGTAAGAGCATCATCATTGATTTAGTAGCCTTCAAAAAGCCAGACAATAGCGTTATGCTAGGTGATGCTGCTTAGGTCATTAAAATACGCTTCAATCTGCTTAGAACACAGAATTCAATAAGGAGACAAGAAGTTCCTTCTAGTGATTACAGACAACTGCTATGCAGATCTACAAATCAGGAATCCTGTTACCTAAAAATATTGGAAACACAAAGCCAGAACGAATAAAATTTTGAAGTGTCATCCTAATTAATCTCTGCCCTAAAGATAGTTATCAATTGAGTCAGTTATGCATTCATGTCTTTTTGCTAGAATAACGTGCTCCTAATCAATGCTTTTCCGCATTTCTTATTTTAGAAGCTTAGCAATGTGGCCAAGACCTAAATCTACGGATCGCCTCCAACCACAGCATGGGAGGTGACCTACAATACATAAATCCGGTCACTATTTACAAAACCCAAGAGCGAGCGGTCCTCGCCTCTTCTTTCACTATTTCGGAATTAGCGACAGAATAAACCATCGAAGCGAAGTCCGCGAAGTAAAAACAAAGCCCCGCAGGCCCCCCCGGAGCCGAGCTGACCGCGCCGGGGGGGGGGGGGACGAGGCGGGCAGCGCCCCCGCAGCCCCCGGGTCCCTCCCAGGGCGGCGCCCGGCCCGACCCGCAGCACCGAAGGAGCCGGGGGAGGAGAAGGGGACAAAGCCGAGCCGCTCCCCATCCCCGCCGGGGGAGGGGGGGGTTCTACCCTCCCGCAGCCGAGCGCTGACTGGAACTGACAGACCTGCTCGCAAAACACCCGAAAAACCACCTCGCTTTCCCACCCCGCCACTCCAAAAAAAAAAAAAAAAAAAAAAAAGCCACCCCACCGCTCAGGGAAGGGGCTGGCTGTCAGCGCCGCTGCAGAGGGACCAGCCGTCCTGCGTAGCCTTTTGTTTGCGTAACGGGTGATAAAAAGGCAAAAAAAAAAAAAAAGAAAAAAAATTAAACGATCCCCCCCCCCCCAGCCCGCCCCGGGCAGCCCCCCCGCCCCGCTCACCGCTCGGTGCTGCAGGCTCGGGCGATGTGCGCAGCGCTCGCTGAGGCGGCGGGGGCCGCGCAGCCCGCGGCGGGGGGGGCAGGGTGGGTGGGGAGGAGGCGACCGGAGGAGGATGTCAGCGATGGGCGGGCGGAAGGGAGGAAGGAAAAGGGTTGGGGTTTTTTTGGGGGGGTGAGGGGGGATAGAGGAGCGAAGAGAGAGAGGGAGGGAAGGAGGGAGGGAAGGAAGGAAGGAAGCGGGTCAGCACCGCGGCACCCTCAGTGCCTCCCCCGAAGCGCTGGCAGCCCCGGCCCAGCCCGGCGGCCGCGCTGCTCGGCGCAGGGCCCGGCCCGGGCGGAGCGGGCGCTGACAGCTGGAGGCAGCCGCCGCTGCCCCCGCCCCGCGCTCCCCGCCCGCCGCCCCGCCCAACATGGCGGCTCCCCCGTCTTCCCCCACAGGCCCCTGCGCGCCCTTCTTTCCCCCCCATCCATGACGTCATCCCACCCGCTCGGAGGGGCGGGCGGGGGGCACGAGTGCTACAGCCCTACAGCCGCCCCCCCCCCCCCAGCACCTCCCCTCAGGGCGGGAGGCCCGGGGCGCCGGTGGAGCCTTTCGGGGGTTCAGGGGCGAGGCCCCGCGCTAAACCTCGGTAAAGCCTCGTCCGCCGGTGCCCGCGGAGAGCCCCCCGCGGCGCGGGGGGTGGTGGTGCCCCGCAGTGGGCCGCCGCCGCCGCCGCACGGGCTTTTCGTGGCGGTGGTTCCGGGCGCCCCGGGAAGGAGTTCGGGGGTTTGCTTCTGTAAAGCGGGGTAGCGAGGGGCCTGGTAACCGTCTCAGCGGGGCGCCTGCGGGACAAACGCGCCCGCAGAGCTCCGCAGCCGGGTCGGGGCGCAGGTTACGCGGGGGAAACCGGCTGAAGGACGAATTCGGCGGTGAAGGCCGGGTCCCCACTTCGGGCTAATTACGTGCTGCTACTGTATTTCAATGCCCTTGTCTTTGCTCCACCTTGACCTGAGTGTTCCCTACTTTTCTGCAGGTTTACACATAAAAAGTAAGACTTCCGCGAGAACTCGTTGGCACTTGGCGCAAGAACCATTTCTTTGCAGCTTCAGATTTCATTCCCCCTCTCACTGGAGGAGAAGGAGTGGTCACAGTATTTTCTTCATGTTGCTTTATGTTCCACACCAGAAACGAAAGATGGAAGGAATTGAGGTTTGAGGTGAAAAAAAAACAGTTGAACATAGCAAAGCAGTAAAATGTACATTGGAAATCATCAGGGAACAGTGACAGCCTAACTTTATGAAAGAATTATTAGCATCTGGGCAGAACATTATGATGCATCATCTGAGCTATAGAAAGAAAGAATGGAATGGAATGGAAGAATAGAATAAGAACAGAATAGAAATAGAAATAGAATAGAATAGAATAGAATAGAATAGAATAGAATAGAATAGAATAGAATAGAATAGAATAGAATAGAATAGTTGGAAGGGACCTACAACAATCATCTATTCCAATTTCCTATGTAACTCCTGCAGTACACACGGTATGAATCATAAGCTAATAGAAACATACGGAGGTATAATGATAAATCAAAATGTGCAGCCTCACCTAAATGCCAATATCTAAAATATGCCAGGAAAGCTGAGCTTACACCTGTTCACCCTCACATACAGCACTGAGGAAGTCTACAAAATGTCAGATACGAGAGCAAGAGACAGGTGAGAAAGCAAGACTCCTGAGAAGAAGCAGGAAATCAGCTAATGCTGTGGTCAAAGAGGCAGAAGAACAGGAAGAGTCACAGAAGCCCACAAGAAACAAAATTAGGGAACATGGATTGTCTGCAGGCTGCAAATACAGAGTCACTGTTGAATTTCAAAAGCTGAGGGAGCTGAAGTATACTTTCTGAATACTGCTGATTGGTATCTTACACGGGTCAAGCCGTCCAACAAAAAACCAACTGTGATACCAGTACTTAAGAACAGCAGCTTCTTGTGTTTTTCATCTCCATTTAAAACATTTCTCTCGCAATTTTGTATTAATGCTTTATCATCATACTGTAGTTTTGACAGGCAATACAGGCTAGCCGTGTATAATAATGTGGTTGTACGGTAATATGAAAGGGAAAAAAAGATTGAAGGGCATTCCTTTATACAAACTACATTTTAAAAGTAAGAGTCATGCCAATTGCTCCACAGGTTCAGAGAATTTTCATGAATATGCAAGAGATTTAATTAAAAATAGAACATGCCCTAATTATATAATTATGCAAGAGAACTGATCCAAAAGAACCACTCCTGTCTTCTGAATAAACAATATTCATTGCTTTCTTCCTATCACACATTTGCTTTAAAAGATTTCCTGCAATTAGCTGCTTACCCAAGGGATCTGAGCATCTCTGAACAAAGCAACTACTCCAGCTATGACCCTGATTCATAATACGCTGGCTAATCAAGTCGGTGCATGCTGGCAATTTCCCACATAAGCAGCACACACTATAAGCTCCCTCCTGCAGGCAGGTCGCTTAGCTCAGTGGAACTGAAGAGCAGTATTACTCCCTTCTGTTCATGGCACAGAGCAGGAGACAGACACAGAATAGACTTGGCAAACATGCTTCTTCCTCAAGCTTCTGCCTGACCTGAAATATCGTAAGAGCTCCTCTCCATTTGGATCTTGTTTTTCCTGTCTCATCTACGTAAGAATTATCAAAGTTAATCTAGCAGTAAAAACTACTTACTGCCCACATTTCCATCTTCTCTTGGGGAACTAGTTATGCTGTATGCCCTGCTTTTAGGATTAAATGATCTAGACATGCTGTCTGTAGAATACTCTTTGTCTGCCACCCACAAGGTCACTGTGGTTTTCTGGGGGCATCTGAGTGGATATGAAAACAAAACCCCCAAACACATTATTTATGGTGATGGATTCTTTATTCTCATTATAACCATTTGTCTCCCAAAAAAGAGAAGGAAGTTTGTAATTCACAGTGGGAAATAAAAAGGCAAACATTTCAGCTAAAGCAGCAGGTTTTTGAGGTACAACAGTGTGAGAAATACAGCAAACTAAGACTCAGTTTAACTGACACCCACAAATAGAGCAAGCCTCTATAAAGAAATTCAGGTTCACTTCATATAAGAAATGTGGGTCATTTTATTTTATCATTGTTATTAAAAAAAATATCCTCCCGGCTTAGAGGATATTTCCTCCAAAAGAGACAAAAGTTTTTTAAATATAATCCTACAGTCTATAAAAGCTATGACTTCATTTTATAAATGTGGGCTACAATAAAGTCCTACATTGGAATAATTTCAACTGCTGCTAAAGTGCTGTTTAAAAGCATCCTGGCAATAATAAATACTGAAAGGCCAGATTCAGCAGCCTGTCTGGCTTTTCATCACAATCACTTGACAGTTGAATATGCTTTTAGTTCGTATCTCCCACAAGAATGTCCTTTATGGAAAAGAGGAAACATAAAAATCAGTGCTCAGGAGTCAAAAGTATCAAGAACGCAGTCCCAGACACAGTTTTAGCCTCACTCCCTTGGGTGTACGTGCAATTACTGCATGCAGAGCTACCTGGTTACCAGGGAGTTCAGGCACTTTGGAGTAAAAGGACAGTATTTTGTTTGCCTTGATTCACTGTCATAGTCAAGATGCCTGAACATACTATTGGGAACCCACTGTTGGGCATGGCATTAAAGTTCCAAGTAAAAATAAACACTGATCATGATCCTGCTTCCCAAGTCAATAAGCTTTATTCAGATTCAAGTGAATTCTCTTTTTTCAGAGTCACAAGCATTTCTAGAAAGCTGTAACAAATGAAAGCCAGTGTGTTTTTCCCTGCAGTTTTCTACCCACAGAGAATTAACAAGCAAATAAAGCATGCAGTGTTAATTCAACTCTTAACAGGCCATTTAATTAGTTATTTTCTGTTACATTTTTTAAACAGAGCGGGATGCTTGCACTGGACATTAACATTTTGCTAACCATAATTCTTTTCACCTGCCAGGTATTACAGAGCTCTGCTGTTGTTATAGGCCAAAAGATACTGACTGAGAGGTTTAAGAAGACCACTCAATTAGCTTTCAAACAGTTTTATTATGAAAAAGAGACTTAAAAACCTCAGGTAATACAATTAAAATAACCACATGAAAGCTAGAAACTATTGGAGAATTTGCATGTCAATATTAATGTGAACATTAAGAAAAACACTAGACAATTTCAGCAACACACCTATATTTATATTTCCCAATTTCCACAGTTATCTTCAAAGTAGTAAGTGATCAAGGAGCTAAGAATTGCACCCTTTGACAAACTACAATACTCTACACTATGTGAATTTACAGAGAGTGTCAGTATTTTCCAAGATCCTACTTTGAAGTAGCAAAATTCCCAACAGGTTAAGCCTTCGCAGACAAGAGCTTATGGTGATAGTTAGACTTGTATCTCTGCTCCCTTCGTTCAAGGAGTAGGTTCCCACCTCTATGAGGGAATGCTCACACCAATACATACTCTGCTCAACCATCAATTTCTGTTCCCCTTTTACTTCTGCCATACCTCTCATTTCATTGAAAGATGAAGCAACTTTCTTCCTTACTTGCTTCCATGTTCTGTAGTCAGCTGATAGCTGACTGCCAGCACCTTTCTGGCTTAGAAATACTCTCTTCTGCTTATTCACTCTGCATGACTTTCAGTGCTTATACATGAAGAAAGACAGCGTTCCTTTTGCACTCCTTTCCTTCGTCTATAGTCTCACTTTTCAGTGAGTTTATTCTCTCTTGGGGTTTCAGTTGCTTGTTCAAGGTTATGAGAATTATTAATCACTGCACATGAGTCACAGGAAGTTACATTTATTCCTGTATTCACCTACCTCAGTCACTGAACCATTGCAGAAGTGTATTAAATCATTCAGAGGAAATAAAAACCACTGTTGGTAGAATATCACAATCTTGACCACTACTAGAGTAAGAACATTTATTGTGTGATACTTCTCTTCACCCTCCTTTATCTTCCCAACTATGACTGTGCTCCATTTCTTTACCTCTCTGCTGGGATAAGGCTTAGTATTGATAGGAAAAAAAGTTTATTCCACAAACACAACAGACTCTTCCAAACACAAAACCTTTGATAGACTGTGTTCAAACCCAAGAACACAGCTAAAAGCAGAAAACCTCTGTTGATTTCTAAGTGCCTGCTTTATTACTACTTACATTAACGCATTCCCTTTATCTAAACAGCAGCTGTCTGTTACCTGTGTGGTTTGTCAGCATTTCTTTATGGAGATTTGCTAGCTCATCAGGCCGTGCTGCCAGATTACTTGCGATTAGATTAGGTGAGACTCTTACCTTGATAACCTTGGTAATGATTGTAGAGCTTTTTCCATGGTGAAGGAGACTTTCAGGTACCTTTTTCTCATTAAATTCTCCAGAGTTTCATTATGAAAAGTGCCTTTTCCCTAAAAAAAACCCCTGCGAGGGCTGTGATTTTATTTTCAGTCACACATCAATGTAAACCTGGGATAATTTCATTAACTAGTATGAGATTTTTCCTTTTTTGAGAAGTGAATCTTTGAAAGTGTAAGAAAGGCATTCCTTTTTCCAACCAGCATTAGCTAGTGGCACAGACTGGGACATAAACTTGTCTCAGCATCAGGGAAACTGGTGCTTCCTTATGGAAATACAAAAGATGTATTCTCTTTCTTCTCACTAAAATTCCTACATACATTTATAAAAGAAGAAAGTTGTGATTTTTCAGATGTTGCCTTTTATTAAAGCTCATGCATATGCTAATCACAAGAAATGCTAATGCCAGCATATGCCTGTATGTGACCTTTTCCAAACAGAAATTTGCACCTACTGATGAAAGATAACTAAGTCTCAAAAGTCTAAAAGGCATTACAGATAACCACTTCACCTGGTCTTTTTCTACATGTAATTATCAAACTCTATTGAAAACCAAGCAGGCATCTTGCCCTTCCTGCCCAAGAACCTCACTCCTCCAGTGTTCAGTCTCAAGGGTAATATATACAAACAGATATTGTGCCAAATTGTGTCATTTCTTTCCAGTTCTTTTCTCTTGCTAGTGATTAGCCCCATTTCTCTATGTGTTTGCATTTCTAAGGAGGTCCTCAAACGTAACACTTCTCTTTTATATGCTTGATTAAATTATTGTAGAGAGAAGATTCTTCCCTGGGTAACCCTCTTAGCTGGTCCTTCCTCCACTCATCTGTCTAGGAGATTCTGCGTTCCTTTCTCCCCTCCTGCTCGGCTAAACAAACCAAACTCTTAATCTCTTTAAGAGAGATTCTACATCTCCCTGATTATTCAACTTGCCCTTCGCCGCTCCCATTTGCTTCACCTTTCTTGAGCCTAATGTGCTGTGATTGTTTGTGCCATGGTCACTATTGAAAATGATCGTTCCTAAGGCTGATTTATCAGTAACCTCCCTTTCATTTGATGTATTCATTTATTCATTTTCTGCACATGCCGCAGTAATTGCCAAACCCTTATCCCCCTTCCAGTTCTGCTAAATGTTTTTCTCTCCTCCTCAACTAACACTCTATATGGAATTACACCAAATTCACTTGGCATCCAACGTTGATTGGAATTTGCCATTTTTTATGGGAGACCATTTTACATCCACTCTTCATTGTTGGAGTTTGCCTTGGTTAGGAGGATATTAAACCAAGGCAGTACTCAGCTGCACTGGACTGGGGAATTAATGGTAATACATTTTGCCCCAAGGGACAGGGAAATGGAAATGTTTCTGCCATGACAACTGTTTCTGTAGTTTCTGTGCCAATGACCAATTATGTCTCTACAGAAAATGGCTTCTGTGAATATGCCTGTGGCTAGATGACTGGTATACAGTACGTGGGGATGAGAAGGGCAGAGGCACTCTAGAAATCAATAGGAAACAGAACTGTCCGTGCTAGGTATTTTGTTCCTCATCCTGTCTCCTGGGAAATAGAGCAGATGCAGGAAAAGGAGAAATTATCTTATTCCCAGGGGTTTGGATATGAATTCTCTCTCCCTGCTGCCTCCATCTTCCCACAGCAAGTACGTACTGTGAAATTTTTGCTTAATTTTCAGATGTTGTAATTCCTATCCTTTCTGTTGTAATTATATCTTTTTTTTTTTTTTTTTTAATCTGCTTTAATGAAACATTTTCTTGACAGTTCACAGAGAGATCCATTGAAGAGTATTAAGTCCAAAGACATACCATGGACACCCTCTTCACTTCTTCCATATTTTCACAATGATACAGAAGAAAACAAGATATGTTTGCTGGAATGATACAGAAGGAAACAAGACATTGCTGCTATCAAGTCTCAGATTTAAAACCTTAGTGAGATGATTGCATAATTCACTCCTACAGGATGGATGGTGTGTTTTATCTCTACAGGCTTGCCTGTAAGTTACCTGAGAGCAAATATTTTTGAAGAATTCAGTCTGTGGACAGCCTCCAAAAGGTCTAGAACAGAGTCTGATACCCCAGATGAGAAAGGGTCGAGGGAATGGTTTTAAATCATCTTTGTGCCTTCCCAATCCTATACTATTCCCTGCTCCTTGTGTGATTTAGACAACCATGGGGACCTGGCTTTCATGTGATAGTTCCGCCCAGGACCTTGATAGGCTTCATCTGTTATATCCCCTCTATTAGGGGATGTGAAAAGAAGCCTTAGAAGCTAGCCTGGTAGCTATCAGTTTCTGAAGAAAGGAATTACTCATACATCTGTGAATAGGTGTTTTAGAGACTGATGTATTAAAAAAACAGTGAGGGGATGCTATTAATTTGTCAAGTTCGGTGGATACTGCTGCATCACATCATGTTCTGAAGGTTTTCCTTGTGCCAAAAAGGCTAGACTCAATTTAGGTAAGTTGTAATTTATGCAGAAACTGGCTAAGAAGGCAGTTACCTCATCAGTATGTAAATCATCACAGATATTCTGAGGCTACAATTTTGTTTCAGAGAACAAATTATTAAAGATAGGAATTTAAAGCAGGACTCCTTGACCTTTGACTTTGGTGGCCAGCTGGGCATAGTACAATTCACAGAAAGTAGATCTTGTAGTAATTTATTTCAAGGAAAAAATCTCTGGCACCACAGTTCTCTACAACAGCAGCATCACCTAAAACACCTGGACTGTTTGAAGTGTTTTGATTACAGGGGGCAGTTCACTGTCACATCAGTTACCATCAGTCTCCCAGGAAGTTCTGGGGAATTGCTGAAAAGTGCCAGATGCAGTACTTCTGGTTTTGAATCTCTGTATTCTAACATAAAATTATTCCTTAACATTTAAAATAATAATTACGTTTTCATGAATGCTGAAATACATTGAAATTGTTTCAAAGACATACATGGTGCAGTTTTACATAGTTTATCAAACCCTATGTATTGAAAGTAATGTAACTGTAAACAGGAACTGAAACATGCCTCAATAAACACTAGGAGAAAGCTGGGAACAACTGATGTATATAAATTAGCCATGAAAGTGAAATGTACTGCCTACACAGTGTTTCACTTGTTATTACATGCTGAAGGACCGCAGAGTGCACCATCACCATATGTTTGAAAACTGTCATGACTCACATGCACTAGGCCGATGAATAATAGTATCTTCCTTCATCAGTGTCTAACACTGACCAGAAATCTACCCAGTAAATGGTTCCACTGTGGGCAGAAATTTAACATGCCCCATATCCTTATAACTACATAACCATAAAAATGTTACTGCCAGGTTTATCATGCACCAATGCAGAAAGCTCTCTGAATATCTTTAAAGGAAGGTTCACACATTTGTCATTTCCCATCCCACTCATTTTGCAACCAGAGGAGGCTGGAATGCTGTGTTACTGCCATTCTCATTAACTTCACTTATCTTCTTTCTCCTTGAATTTTTGGTTGTGAATTCTGTTGGGTAATGTCCAAAACCAAAGTTCATACTGTAAATAAGTAAGACTGCTTTTCTAATTTACATGTAAACATATAATAAAGTTGAAATTATATTGTTAATTACATATGAAATTGAACACTGAGTGCTAAGTGGCTGTTAGATAATACCTATAAATTATAGACTCAAGCCAGTAATAAGCTGCTTTACTGCTTTTAGAGAAAGTGCGAACCTTGTGATTCAAAAGCCTGAGAAAAATCTTCCTAAGATGGAAACATGCCCTGTCCAGTGGCATGCTTCAGCCACATTCTCCTAGCATCAGCCTAATTTACTCAGTCCTATGGCAATCAGATTTATGGTTGCAGCACCACGGTTACTGTTAAGCATGCCCAGCAAGTCTCCAGGTGTTGCACTGAACAGACCCCTCTATTCCCAACAGCAAAAGCAGCACCAGGGAAGAAGCACCAGAGGAACACAGCAAATTAATTAATTTTGAGCATCTCTCGTCAATTAAAATTGCTCTATAATATCCTATATCAGAACTGATTTTTAATTTGAAGTGAGCTTGAATTCTGCTTTGACACAAATTAGCACCTGTGGCTATTTACTCATATGTCAGTATTTTGTTTTGGTTTTCATGGTGGAAGTTTTCATGAGGCCTGAGGAAACTGGGGGTTTTCCAGACATGACATTAAAAGTGAAATATTATTTCAGTAAATGTGAGAAGAAGATTGGTAAATCCAGGATACATTTTCTTACGTATTCACTGGAATTTAGTTTCCATTTCATCTTTCAGTCTGCTACAATTTTGGACAAATAAAGAGTGATCTACCTAAGTATTTATAGTTTCTACAGCTACTACGGTCAGAACTGTCTTGACTTGGTTTGTTACAGAGTATTTATGCTGTGTCATACCATCTATTTTCTATATGACACTCCAGAATTATAAAATCACTTGGAAAGCAATCAAGGCAGCCCATTAATCTCTTTTGAAATTTGCAATTCATTGATTTTGTCTTCTCATATAGCCTTGACTACAAAAGCTGTTTTGCAAAACAACTCTTCCTCTCCCAAAGACTCTGGACTTCTAATTATTCAAATCGTTCTAGAAATTAAAATCTGCAACTTTTCTGGAACCCTTTAAGAACAGGCAATGTATGCTACACGCTGATTATCATATGAAAAACTTTTCATAGCAGGGATTTATTACAAAGATGGAGCTAAAATTTGTCAACAGGAGGTTCTTTAATAATAAGATACGAATAGTGACCTGAATTTCTTACAGTTCCGAAACTTCCGTTTTGCCTGTTAATGTGTTTTGGCTCAGCTGATGAGAGTTAGCACAGCCAATTCTGCAGCTGAATCGTATCAGTGGGTTCTTGGGGGGCAGCGGTGTGAGCAGAATACTGCCGAATACCGGCAATCCCTGACTGGCCCGAGCAGGGGCTGCTGGAAACTCACACCAGCCACGGGCCACCAAAGCAGCACCAGGGCTCCTCCACTTGAGTCGGCGCGCCGAGTGCCCCCCGGCAGGCCCACGCTCACCGCCTCCTGCCAGCCCAGGCTCCTGTCGCAACACTCCTGGGACCACCCCTAAGGATGAGGGCCTGCATGCACCAGGAAGCAACATCACCATGCCCTTCCCTGCAAAACAGAAGAAACTCCATTAAATGCGTGTCTGGTTTGAAGTAGCAAGACACAAGCGGCTGTATGGAACCGGGACCATGTCTGCAGAGCACTTACGGGGCTTCTAAAACTGATTTTGACTATGGGTATTACTGTAAAATGTCCCCTGACTAAGACCGCACTTAAAAAGGGATCATGTAATTTTTTGCCTTTAATATTTCTAGCCAGAAGTACTGCTGTTGCACTTTCACAGCATCTGCTATTTGAATTTATCAGTCAACCAAATCTCACAATAATTGTGTAAATCTTAATCCATTAATGAATGCAAAGGCAAGGCACAGAGAAGTGATTTATATAATAATGAATATTAATGAGTATGTCAAGATGATTATATTCGATGTACTTATAAACTCTTTTTAAGAAATAAACTAATAAGTAATTTGCATTTCCTTTTTTTTTTTTTTTGAGAAATGAACCTGAATATTCATTTACAGGGTAGTTATTCTGTTAATCAGTTTACAGCAATTAGTAGGTATAATTTTTAATATGAAAATGTTATTCATGCATACTACAGTTCCAGGCATATATTACCCTTTCCTGAAAACATTTAAATCTCCATCTTTATGCAAAAGACTGGCCCATGGGCTCTGCACAGGATGTAAATTAAGTTCTTGTTTGGCTAAATCTGCTTACCCTGTAGGATACCAATTTTGCTCGGTGATAGTGGAAGCTAAAAATTGCAAGCAGAGCAGTCCCCTTAAAATGGGGCCAGGAAGGGTCAGCTTCTAAATGACAAATCTGAGTTTTGAACTAGATTTTAATTTTATCCCTAAGAACATTCAGTTAAACACAGAAACTACCTCGTCAGTCAGTAGTCGCTACCATTACTTTTATATTCCTAATGAAATTGAAAAATGTCTTTTTTTTTAAACTAGGTAGAGTTCTTTACTAATCATATACAAAGGTGCTACAATCACTTCAACCCAACCTTTAGTTGGTCTGCCTCTCTATTGCCATTTCTCACTTCCTCTTACTCCTCTCATAGTCTATGGAAATTAATGCTCCAGCACAGAAATTCAGTGAATAGCAAAAACCCACACAGAGTATCAGAACATAACCACCCCAAGTCAGTACAAACTATCAAAAATTGAGTATTCCCAAAATACTGTTGTTTTATTATCCGTTTACTGAGTGCATGAGACAGATTAAAAAGGCACATGCTGACACCACTAAATATGAAATGCTGCTGTTCCTTCTGACAGGATTAGCTAAATACCTAAATGGGAACACTCCCCTCTATTTTTCCTGTACTCAGAAAATGTGCATAGAACAGTCACTCTTTGATCTATTTCACTAGCTTCAGTTACTGTAGCAGTCCTTTGTATACATAAAAAATTTATTTTTAGTAGTTTGTGGCGGCTCCTCATTCTTCCTTTGATGTATAAAGCATTTATGATCAATAATGTCTGAAAGCAGCTGGCATTATTACAAATGCTCTAAGTTAAAAAAATCAGAAGTAATGCAACACTGGCAAAAATTATATGGCTGTTCAGAAAATGTAATTATCTCAGTAAATATATGTGGTTTTGGTAATGAGACTCAAAATTTCAGATGGATTATTCTTAATAACATCTTTTCATTGTGGCTTTATTAGATACTGTAAATCAGAGCTCAGCGCTTACCTAATAGATAAATACCTCACTCCTTCAATAGGCTTTAGATCAAGTGACCCAGCACTCCACACAGAATCTTAATGAAGGCAATGCCATAAAGCCATGAACTTTACCTACAAGCAGCTCAGAGCAGAATCCTAGCATGATCCACCATATGCTGATCATATAATTTTTGGGTGACCAACACTAAAATTACACCTTCAGAAGACAGTTTTAACTGTGAATTGACTGAAGTGCAATCCAAACCTTCCATCTGAATTCCCCCATCGCCCCCACGCCAACAGTAGAACACTTACATCTGCATGATGAAGCATTAATCCAACTGACATCTAACACTCTTTTCCCTTGGATTAGTTCTAGTAGTGAATCAATTTTCTGATCTGGTTCAGCAGGCAGACACAAGAATGTCTGTGTTAATAAAAGCGAGCAGCTTGGAAGATAAAAATGCTTGATTGACCTCTACCCACTTAAAGCATACGTGAAACCTCCTTAGGGAACTTACGCAGAAGCTGTCGAAACATATGGCTATCAACTACCAGCCCACTGGGGTTCTGGTCTCTGCCTTCCAGGGATATTTCTTACATTATCCAATCATTCTTTTATATTTCAACTATTTATTGAAATGTGCATTTGCATTGTGGTCAAAAGCTTATACACTGTAAGATACAACTTACTGTAAGGCCCTGAAGAATTACATTATATACCCACAACAGTCTATTTCAAAAATTTACTTTTCCAAAGAAACATGGCATTTTGTAGCTTTTTAATAAATATATACCTTCTACTGTTGAAGCAGTAAATAACACTCACAAATAGTATTTTCCTAGTGTTGGTTATCACCTCAGCCCACACAATAATGACTGTTTTCATTTACTAATAACACAACAGTTAAAATTCATTAAAAATAAAATTCAGTGACCGTTTTAGCCCCAATGATGGTATCATCATTGTATGAAATAGTGTGATCCACTACTATATCATTAATATTTATTTCATCTTGCAAAGGAATGATTACATTGAAGCTGACAAAGCTCTTTTTGCTCCAGCTGAAAAAGCCTGTGAATAAATCATGTCATGTTTAAACATGAAAAACAGGTCAATGGCTATTGAGCTGACATTTCCAAAAGCAGAACCTTCCCCACAGCATAGCATCAGGAAAACACTTCATTTGACAACATACATGCTTTTTAACAGAATTCTCTTAGCAGGAACTGTGTTGGAAAAATCATTTAACTGTATAAATGGACAGGGAGAACATTATGAGGAATGGAACTTCTTTTAAATTACAGATACATGGCATAACATTTTAAGACTTAAATCAACTTCCTTCCAATTGATGTTACATACCTGCAGGACAGAAAAAATGACCCTCAGGCGAGTTGTTTTTGAGAAACTGTTGAGAACAGCACATTTTTTGAAAGAAATGATCCAGTAGACAGCACTGCCCATTAGTACTAATGTTCTCCATTTAGCTAAGTATCAGTTTCCTTTTCTACCAAGATTAAGTGACTGGCAATGCATCTGTTTTATTGCTTGGCAACTAAAATCTTTACCAGTCATAGGTCAGAGGAACTCTTGTCCAAGGGGGACACATTTCTCTTAATTAACACAAAATTATCTAAGAGCATCCCTACTGCGTTAGCAATTTATATGAAATAACAGCTGAAATCTTTATTCAAATTAGTAAATAATCACACTGAAAAGAGGATTATTCTAAATTGACTGTATATATACTTGCAAACCATACTTGTTCCTTCAGCCATGTTGTATTACTTATGGACAGCTACTGCCCCAGACAGACAACTGCGGTAAAATGAGGCATTTTTACCTTTGTATACTGATACAGTTGGTGGAGACATCATTCTCTCACCCAAATTCAGGTGCAGCATACAGAATTGCACATTATTTAGGAGCTATGACTCTGTGGTAAAAATGTGACAGTTGTGATCCATTCCATTTAACATAAATGAGGAACAGCTTTTAACAGTTCTCAGCTGTGTTCTGGTTGGGAAATATTTTATATAGACTTGGAATAAAAGGTAAAAGAAAGCTACAAAGTGATTATAAATTAAGACCAATGGCAATTATAAATTAAGACTTTTATTTACATAGTTTAACAAACAGATTGAAACTATCATTGCATTAGTCATTCAGATTCTGAACTTCGCTATAAACAAGTTTATAGGAGGCCTAGCTAGAGTTGCATTCTTCATGGAGCTGTGATTAATTTCCAACATTTTTCTTTTTCCAACGAAGCCACCTCAGAGCTCTTGCCAGTGCTACTTGTCCCATGAGGAAAGTGATAGTAAAGTTACGTTTATACCAATCTCTAGGATTCCAAAGCCAGGAAAATCATCAGCATGCAGAACAAGAACAGGAGAAAAGGTACACAATTATATTAAAATATCCTTTGGCATTGACAAATGACAATTTTGTGATGACCTGCATTTTCCATTCTTTGTGGCAACACTTTTCATGCCCGACAAGAGTTAAATAACATGTGAAAAGGTCTAGGTGAATATCCACATCCATGAGCAGATTACATGTGGACTACAGGGCTACAACCACTGAGAGCTTAACTGTAAAAAAGTTAAGGGATAGGCAGTTTTATGACCAATTGTGTTTGAAATCAGGTAAGCTAAAATAATTGTAACTACATCTCAGGTTTCAGAAGTAAAGCTGATCATCAAGCTACCTAGAAGGATTTTCGGCTAGTGCTACGCTAGGGGTATGATTTGTTTGTGCATGTATGAAGATACATGTGAAGGGCATAGTTGGTCACCTAGAAGGGTGGGAAAAAATAAAATCAAATCACACTTTAAAGACTAATTGTATAACCCAATATAGGAAACATTCTGTTTCTAATGCAGTACCTTTTAAAGATGATGCTTTTAATATTGGCAAAGTTACTCTTTACATCTGTAAATAGTTTTAATGAAGCATGCATGGCTTCTGGAACCAATTCAAGATATAGATAGGATAGTCTGTATCCGCCCTTTTTAACCTCTACAAACTTGCTTCAAATTCCTGCCCCTGTAACAAACTAAAGTAATATCATAATTTCTTTCTAGTTTCTAACAAGGATCCCTCTTGTATTTTGTAAAATGCTGCACAAGAAGCAACAGAGTATGCTTATTGTAGAACTAGCAGGGAATATTAAACATTGGGATTTAGGTCTTCTTTTGAGATCTCTGTGGGAAACACTGCGTATACAGATCTAACAAACCTGAGATACTAACCTCTGAGTAAGGATAGTAGCCAAAATCGTGCTGACGAGCAGCACTGAGCTACCCCCTCAAATGTCATGTTAAATCAAAATATCTTGCTAACATTGCAACTGTTTCTTTTCCCCTTCCATGTCTTATTTCCTATATCCTTCTCCATTTTTTTTTTCTAAACTAGACTGTATTTCCACTCTAGGTACCCTGAACTAAATATTCATGGCATCTATGTACAGTCATGTCTTCAATTTTAACTAGATTTTAGAAGTTGCAACACTTCAGCAACCACAGTTTTCAGGCCAGCTGGCAATGCTGCAAAAGAACATACAGCAAAATGCATAAACAGATTTTTATAAATATGACCCCTCAAAATCAGAGTGCCTGTAAAAAGCTCCACTGCTTTCAGGGGTGTGCAATTCCACTTTGAAACTACAACAATGCAGCTGACACTATCTGATTTTACAAGGCAGCAACAAGGAAGGACACGTTTTGGCACAAAGCCTGAACTCTGTTACTGTGAAGACAGGACACTATCCTCAGGTCACTACAACAATGGCATCTGGTGATCAGTTCTAATAAAAACTATTTGGTTTCTCACTCATCAGTTAAAAGCAATGTGAACAACAATCACCTCATTAAAAATAATTTTCTAATTTCCATCTTTTCATGCTGTTGCTTAGGTTTATGGTGAGGTTCCCCCCCTCTCCCTCCCCCCATGTGCAAGACAAGATGTCTATATTTATTTTAAATATTTGTTACAGTAGAATTGTTCTTATAGCATGTTACGGTATATGCACAATACATACAAAGAACCCTAAACCACAATTTGTTATAGATCAGTTACAGTGAAGGTAGAATTCTCACTAGCATTACACCATCAGGAACCCAGTAACACCTGACACCTTTGAGCTCAATAATCTTTCAATCCAATACAGAGAAGCAACTGAAGTTGTGGTTTCATATTCAGTGGGCAGCGCTACTGTAACTGGATTAAGTGCTGTCCTCCTCCAGCTTCCCATTCCTTCGTCATTTCTAGCCCTCTACCAAGTGTGCGCAGCGACTTGCAGGGTAATGTGTGTTGCAAGTAATTTTTCAGTTGTTTCAGATGCCCAATCCAGTTTATCAAGTTGCTGTACAAACAGTAACACTAAAACAATGCAGTAGATGTTGTGAAGAGGCACAGTGGACGTGGGCTTACCCAGTTGTAGCTGAGGTTCCACACAAAATGAGTTCAGGAAACCATTTTGCTAATGCTTTGCCACACAAAAAAACCCTCAAACTCAAGGCTAATCACTTCAATTTTTACTATATGCTTGCAAATAATAAACCCAAGAATACTAAATACTACTGTCATGAAACATTCTTCCCTTGAATGAGATTTACTAGTCCTTATTTAACAGGCAACTAGAATCTGTTATATAAAAATTTCAACTGTTTTATTTGCATATTTATTGGTTTCAATTAGCAGCATGAAGAGACCCATGCTGTAAGAGAAAAAAAATTGAGTGCCTGATATTGTCTCTCTGAATCTCACGTCTGAGGTTTACCTCTCCACTAAATCAACAATAAGCGGTAGAAGAATTCAAATGACAATGAAAATTTCTGTCAAATGCTAATAACAGCATTTTAAAAAATCATTTTCTAAAATGATAGTTTTAGGTGCTGTTTTACCAATTATGGAAAAAATAATGTTCAGATTTTAAATTTGATCTTATGCCTTTCACTTGGACTGTAATGTGTAATAGTCAACATAAATACTTTCTACATACCTGTTATACTGCATATGCTTTCTAGAATTTTTACTTAGAAAGTCCTTGTAAAAGTCAGCCATTTCTTCTGCATTCAGTGTTGCTTTTTGACCTGAAAATAAGTTTTGGCATAACAAAGTCAAAATAATTCTTTGGATTTAAACACTGGGTTCAGATGCAGGAGAGCTAGGTCTAACTCCTTGCTCCTACAAGCTTCCTGTATAACCCGGAACAAATGAATATGCTTTTATTTTTTCCAACTTTTTAAAAACCTGTCTAGGGAGCACAGCCAGTTAAAAATACTGATTAACTCAAAACTGTCATAAGTATAATCACTTTCACAAGTAAGAGTTATCAGGTCTTAGATTATTTAGGGAACCAGTGGACCCCTATGAAAAAGTCCACAGATCTAGGAGAATCTATCCTTTTAAGTAAAATGAATCTCTTGTGGGCCTGAAGTCTAAACAGCACCAGTAAGAACACTTACTAACCTAAATTTCCTCTTTAAAGTAAGCCAATAAATACAGAAAGAACAGTATCCATGACTGACATGATATTTTCAGATGTAATTGTTTTCTATTGCTGTTGATATATTTTAAGTAACTTATACCAAAGAGTATATGTTCTGAGATGTCACATTCGTTAACAACTATTTTGTGAAGAAGCAAGTACAAAAACATGACTAAATATGCCACTGTCATAAGCAGAATGTAAGAGGAGATCGATTCTTTCCACAGAACATGAAAGGAAAACCTGTGGCTACAGCACAGATGTAGAATTCTGAGAACTAGCAGGTATTCTCAACTCTATCAGTTAATTCCTATTCAAACTTTATGGCACTTCAAGTGTTTTTAAAATGAGGGTCAAATTTGAAGGTAAGAGGGAAGATGGATACGATGAGGGCGATGGAATTGTGATATTCCGCTTGTTACTGATCCAAAATACATTTCAAAGCTCCTGAGACTGATCATAGAAAGGTAAATTTTTGTCAGTTCTATTTGTCATTATTTACAAATCTAATATATTACAATGGATTAGCATACTATGGGATAAATTTACTCTAAGACTATTTGAAGGCTGCCTACATAACACCTATAGTTAATGTGTTTCTTTATACTGGTATTGGCAGAACTGATTGTAGATTCACTTACATAAAAATATGTTTTGCTCCAACTGTTCATGTATATTGTTATTACTCTTATTTTTATATACATATGCAGCTGTATTATAGAACAGTTAGTCAACACATGCAGACAATATGTACATGCTTACTATTTTTTCTTTCATTTCTAGGGTATAAAACCAAAAGAAACAAAAAAAACCTCAAACCAAACCAAAATGGCACTATAAAAGCAGCCTTTCCTAAAGAACTCAAAACTTAATTAAAATTATTTCTCAACGACACACTGATCACCAGGATACAAACTGAAGAGAAAAATAATGGTCTGTGATACACAGAATACCTGAGCGGATACTCTACTAAACTCAAACAGATCATTATTCTAGGAACAAACTGCTCAACCTCCTACTATGATGGCCAATTCACTGTTATTAGGAAGGCATCTTGTTTTCAGTTTCGCATCATGAATTAGAGGGGCAACTATTTTACAGCAACTGTGCTCAGGCAAAGACAAGGCAGATAGCAGCTGCTGTCGCCTCAGAAGCTGTTTTATTCTCCGTCAAGGAAAAATATTGTATTCATTCCACACATTATGGACCTGAAGCCAAGGAGTGGGAATTTATCCACCCAACTGTAACACACACTTGAGACAAACGCTCTGTATGTTTAGCTCAGCTAGCTCACTGGGTTAGTAGGTGTGAAAGTCCTTAGACTACAGAATGACCACATTACTTGGCTAGGATTTCAGCGAATTCCCTCCAGCTGCAGGGAAGGAATAACAGTACAACAGATGATCTGACCCCCACAAGCACATCTCTGAGGAGCTCCTCCCTTCTATCATTCTTATGAAAATACTTCTAAATCCTACCCTCAAGATTTACTTCTGACAGAACACAAAAAGCATAAACTAACAAAATTCAAAGTTAAACAGAATTCAGAATGCATCCTAAACTATAAACAAAGATCTCACTAACCTGTTTCATCTCTCATTTCCAGACCCTTGGCTTTCAGTCTTGAATAAATAAATTCTTCTTTTTCCTAAAACATGTTTTTCCACATTAGAATCTGACGTACTCAGTCCTTGAAGTTAACCACTGGTTTTAATCACATAGCAGTGTAGTGCTTAACACCCTTTGAAATAACAAGCAATACTTATCATACTTGGAAATATCAACAAAAGATTTTCCTGAACCCAGTGAGTTCGTTAAACCAGTAACTCTGTCACTTAGATCCAACTACCTGAATGAATCGATTAATTAATGCACGTGATCTATGGAGACATTACGTGTGGAGCAGAGTTACAGCTGAACTTGTACAGTTTGACAGGATCTGAACCTTCATTTTATGAGGCAAACTATGAAGATGTACTGTATTTTATAATGAGAACTTGAAGATAGAAAAAAACATGTAGCCTTAAAAAATTTCAATTAAATGGAAACAGAATAATTATTTATACATAAGTTTTTCAAACTTAAAAAGCAGTTCTGTGGAATTAAAAAACAAGCTTTGTTTTTTCTCTGAGATCTTTGCAAGTTTTGGGAGGCTATGATGATCAAAGATCATCACAAATGATGGTGAATTAATGAATCTCTACCGTTCTTCCAGCAAAATTCAGTGCCTCCTAACCAATGCTGCAATCAGGAAAGACAACAGACCACAACCGGAAAGTCCTCCCCGCTTTCAGCCTTGCTGGGGCACCTTGGCAGTGAAAAAAGGCACGTCCCTCATTTACCCCTGGTAATACCTAATTTCTCTCACTTATGACAGAGCAAGAAGAGCTGCAGAATCATTTTCAACAGCTGCTCCAGTCACAGACCGGCCTTGCACATAGGGTGGCTACAACTTTATATTCTCAGGGCAAGACAGGTAAAAGGCATGTATCATTATATGCCACTAAACAGCAATAAAACACGCAGGCTCTTTAGCTTTTTCTTACGCCATTTTAAAGAAATGAATGACAAAAAAGTAATTTTCACCCAGACACCACGTCTATTAAGGGAAATGGTATCAATTACCATCCAGTAAGAGCGGGCAGAGCCGAACCCTTCCTCACGGGGACCAAACCCGCGCGGGTGCGGGCGCTGAGCGCAGGGGGTGTGCGGGCAGGCTCACCTGGCGGAAGGCGCGGTTGTGGCGCGCCCAGAAGCGCTGGTCACAGGCCTGGGCCTCCTGCCGAGCCTCCCGCAGCCGCCGCTCCAGGGCCGACTCCTCGGGGGGCACGTAGAAGATGACGGGGCGCAGGTTGGAGTGCTTGTCGGGGGGGCCGATCCAGTCGTTACAGGAGTGTGCGGGGGGGCTGAAACCCAGGCCCTTGAAAGTACAGGCAGAACTCGTCAGGACCACTTTAGCAGTTTTTGGAGACCACCCTGATTTGAGATAAATTCCAAAACTGCACATAACCTTAAAACATATAAGCAAACATAACAAGCTCAGAAATTATGCACATTCACCTACCCTGATGGAAAATGATGCGATACATTGAAATTTTACTTTTATTTAGAAATGCACTACAGAGAAGATAGCTTGGACTCTTTCCCAACAGCCATAAATCATGATTTTAAGCACTCTTTTTTCGTTTTTGTATCACTGATATTCCACTTTGTTAAAATACTTGATGGCAAGAACTCGCAAGTATGTAAGTCTTCCTAAGCGCCGCTTTCTTCACGGACCCCTGTGAACCCGCACAAGCGCGTCGCTTTTCAGGCCGGGTTTAGGAAGAACTGGCTCTAACAGCCCGCAGCTTACCGCTCCGTTCGTAAAAGCGCTTCGCTTCGCTTCCCCGGCGCCTCAGCGCCCCACCCGCGCAGCGCGGGAGGGGCCGCGTCGTTATTTACAAACACCGGGGGGCGTTGAAAGACACACAAACAACGAGAGGCGGCGGGAAACGCGGGCTTTTACCGGGACCCGCCCGCCCAGCGACGCAGGGAGTTACCGCGGGGGCAGCCAGGCCGGCCCCCCGCCTTCCCCCCTCTCCGGGCTCCGCAGGGGCGGGAGACCCTGAGGCCTCCCCCGCGGTAGCGCCGGCTCCGGGACGCTGGAGCTGCTTCCCCGCCCGCCCCGCCCGGATTTACCGCGCTCTCCTGCCGCTCCCCGCGCTCAGCCATGGGGCCGCCGCTGGCTGAGGAGAAGGAGAGGAGGCGGCGGCGGCGGAACCCGCCAGCCCTCAGCGCCCTGACCGCCGCCATGGCTGCCGGCGCCTGGCGCTTTACGGCGGTTGTCGCAAAGCCCGGGCGGCCCGGAGCGCGGCGCCGCGGCAGGAGCCGCGTCCCTCGGCCCCGCCGCTCCCGATCCCGCCCCCGACCCCGCCCCCGCCGCCGGGCCGCGGGGCGGGGCTGGGCTCCTGGGCTGCGCTGCCGCTCGGCCCGTGGCGCAGCGCAGCGCCGGGCCGGTCAGCGGGGCTACTTCGGCCGAGGCGCCCGGCGGGTGAGGCGGCCGGGGCGGTGCGGGGACCGGGAGCGGGGAGGGTGTTGCCGCGGGGGTGGGAGCGACCCTCTCCTCGGGTGCCTCCGTGGTCCCCACCGCGAGCGGCCCGCCGTCGTCTCTCCTCGCTTCGTCGGGCCCCGTCGCCCGGGGGCAGGTTGCTGCGGTGGAGGGGAACGGCGGGCGCTGGGGGGGGGGGCGGGGAGCGGGCCGTCGGCGGTGCGGCCTGTGCGGGGGAGGGCAGCCCTGCCCCCGGGTTGTGGCGCACCCCCAAGGGTGGTCGGGTTTTGCCGCTGTTTTTCCCCTTGTCCGGTTTGTTCTGCCGTGCCCACAGCGGCAGGGCGGGTGGGGAAGGGAGGGCTGGAGGTCGCGGGTAAACGCTGGGAGAGGGTAACGACAGCATCCCCCCTGCAGCCCGGGCGGAGGAAAGGAGTGCGAAAGGCTAGAGGAATCGCTGTGAAATGCCAGCCAAGTGGTGTATTCCTGTTGCTAGAGATATTTAAAACGGTCGTAACGCTGAAGCGCTTCGGGATGTTGTGAAAGTTGTGACATGTGCTTGCATGGGACTTTACTAATCGCAAGTCTTGTTCTCACTTTCCTTGTAGTTCATCTGAAACTGGACGAAAGAAGAGAATGGATATGGGTAACCAACACCCATCCATAAAACGGTTGCATGAAATACAGAAAGAAGTCAAGGAGATCGAACAACAAGTGGTTGTCTTCAGTGGTCTGTCTAGTGATCAAGATTACAAGAAATTAGAAAGGAATCTCACTAAACAGCTTTTTGAAATAGATTCTGTAGACACTGAAGGAAAAGGGGATATTCAGCAAGCCAGAAAGCGAGCTGCTCAGGAAATAGAAAGGCTGCTTAAGGAACTGGAACAAAATGCAAACCATCCACGCAGACTGGAAATAGAGGCTATATTCAAGGAGGCACAGTCACTTGTGGAACGTGAGATTACACCTTTTTACAAAGGAGGTAACTGTATAAGTGACGAATTTGAAGAAGGTATTCAGGACATTGTATTGAGACTTACCCAGGTGAAAACCGGAGGGAAAGTTTCTTTACGCAAAGCGAGATATCGTACACTGACAAAAGTATGTGCTGTCCAGGAGATTATCGAAAGCTGTGTAAAGCAGCAGCTGTCCCTGCCACTCTCTAATGATGCGCATCCTTCTGTCTCCAAAATTAACTCTGTAATGTGTGATGTGAACAAAGCAAGAGGAACTCTTATTGCGCTTCTGATGGGAGTGAGTAGTAATGATACCTGCAGGCATCTATCCTGTGTGCTTACAGGCCTCATCGCTGATTTGGATGCTTTAGATGTCTGTGGTCGCACGGAAATAAGAAACTACAGAAAGGAAGTAGTGGAAGAGATCAATAAATTACAGAAATACCTGGACTTGGAAGAAGAAGCAAATTCTACTCATGCTTATGATTTGGCACAAAATCAGTCCATTCTAAAAATAGAAGAGATTCGCAAGAAAATGAAGGAAGTTAATTCTTTACTTTTAAAAACAGAGAATGCTTCCGATTTGTATTTGAGATCTAAAGCGGAATTACAGGGATTAATTGCTCACTTAGATGAGGTGAGTCCAGGAAAAAACCCCTGTATTAGAGAAGCCAGGAGAAGAGCAGTAATAGAAGTTCAAACTCTTATAACGTATATTGATTTGAAGGAAGCACTTGAAAAAAGGCAAATGTACTCTGAGCAAACTGCTGCTGAACATCAGTCTCATAAGGCAGTTTGGACTGTTCTTGGAAACTTGTCTCAAATTCAGCAGGAGGTGATTTCATTTGATGGAAACAGAACAGATAAAAATTACATGAGATTGGAAGAACTTCTTACAAAACAACTTCTAGCACTTGATGCTGTTGATCCACAAGGTGATGAGCGGTGTAAGGCTGCCAGAAAGCAAGCAGTAAAGCTTGCGCAGAATATTCTTTACTATCTGGACATGAAAACAGATGAATGGGAATACTGAAACAGCCATGGCCTGACATAGAAGAACATTTTTTCCTTTGGCACTTTATGCAGATCGTTGGCAGCACATAATAAAAGCGGTGTGTTCTGTGCTTGCTTAAATCACAGAGATTGCATAAGCAGTTGACTTGGCTATATGTCTGCTATCCCACGCAGTCACCCACTTGCCATGGCAACTGTCAGTACACCATCAGCAATTCTGGTCATGGCTATAAGCAAAGAAGTGCGATTTTCTGAAGGAATAGCTTAATATGTGATCAAATGGCTTTTTTTTTTTTTTTTTTTTTTTTTTTTTCCTGGTTTTGTTTTAATTACCTGGTGCAATGTTCAGTGAATGCAGATTTTTCAAAGATGCAGAAACTTCCTCACGGTACAGTACTGGCAAAACTAAAGAAGACTGGACATGAAAATTAGTATCCAAGCATGAGGCTCCATCCAGCAACTTCACAGCAGTCTGGATATACTCTTAATGTGCTTTTACAACAGAAAGTACTAAAGGCAAAAAGCCTGTTGGCTTTTGGGTTGTACTGGATTTATTCCATCCATCACAACTTTCTGGGTGTTTAGATTTCTTGGTTGATGGAGCTGTAATGCCAACTGCAAATTAACATTTACGTAGGCAAAGCCAATTATGTCTATTTTTTGTAATATCTGAGCCCTTTGATTTTCAAAAGCAGGTCTTTTGTTGGTGGAAACTCTTTCAAATTACTGCTTTAATATACTGAGACTTGGAGAGGGAAATCTGTACATATATACTGACCAGATAAATGGGATTTTGAGGATTTCACACTGCCATCCATAAACCCCTGAAAACTGCAATGAACTTTAGTGGCTGCTTAGGTGTCTTCTTAAACTCTCTTGTTAGATCTGGTTTTGACTTGTCTTTTCACATTTGGTGAAAACAGAAACAATTCACTTTGAAGTGAATGAGCATTTTGGAATTATTTTTGTAAAATTATGTAGCTAGCTATAAAGATGTCCCTAATGATGTAAAAGCCTGTTATATATTTCATACTGGTCAGGTGTGGCTTCAGCATGTCTTGGAAAAGACTTGTGGCAAATGTCTCTCCTTGCAACTCATCACTTAAATGTTTTGGTAACTTCGTAAATAAGCTTGCTTATACTGTTGTACACACCTGCTTTTTTATTTGTGGCTGCTAGTGCCAATCACATTTCTACTTTAGCATGTTTTTTGGCATTTTTTCGAGAGCATGGCATTAAAATGAATTCATTATAAAGATATATTTAATTATGGGTACTTTGCACTTAGATCTTTCATGTTGAATTAATGAATTACTGTTCTATAGATGATGATTTGCACCACTTTAAGGAGTAAAAACCAGTTTGGATGGATAAATATTTTTAGATCTATTTTTGAGTGATGAGAGAAGACAACACTGTCTGTGAAAGCCAAGTGCCTTTATGACACCACTGACTTGCACCGTCATACGTAGATATAGGAACTGTTCACTGGAAGCTTGATACGTTTGTAATCTTTGCAAACTGGATTTCTCACATATATATAATTCTACTATAATGTATGTCAAATTAATGTAATACAACAGGTGGCAATTGTTTAGAGTCCTGAGAATGAGCATCAAATTTGGGAAATACGGATTCTGCTTAAAAACAAATGCACGGATGTGGAGATGGGGGACTTTGGGCAGGTCTTCTGTGCCTATTGCTACAAGAAGGAGAGAATATGGTTCCTCCATAACATGCTTTGAGATGTTGATGAAAGGCTCAGTAACTTCAGAGTGTGAATATATTTTGTTTGTGATTGTACAGGTGATTGCTTTGCAGATTTACTTGCCAACTGAGTATGGTGCCTGAGGCACAATTTGGCAATGACAGAATGTTGGAGGATTCTCTCTGCTCTTTCAGAGATATAACCCCATTGAATTTATCTCTCCTTACATCAAAAAAATAATTTCCCCTAGTTAAAATTCCAATCTATGTTTATATATTATGTGGCTAACACAGAATAGTTATGCACCTGAATTATTTTACTCATTTCAAACTTTCTACACATTTGAACTGCAACTTCTGATTTGCACTTACATTTTTAGGGAATATAAGAATTTGATAGTGTAATAATATTAATTTTTCTTTAGTATTACTGTCAGGTCTGCATTGGTTACTTGTAGGTTGTTTAACAATTTAGTGTCTGTGTTCTTTGGAGGTTATGTGTAGCTTTATAAATGTTTGAACCTCTTACAGAAAAATTAGTATAGTTTTCGGATCTCTTCTATTTTAAATTTTTATATCTTTTGTCTTTTCTGAATGAATTGTTATGCCTGTGTCTAAGAAGGCAGATGTGTAAGGTTAGTGTAATTTTGACTCAGTAGAGTTCAGTAGCAAGATATTCTGTGGATTAAACTTTTTTTCCATTGTTCTGTACTCTACTAAATTGACTATTTAAATTTTATGGTAAAATCCTCATCTGGAATGGGATTAATTCACAGTTTTTGCATGAATGAAAGTAATAAGCTACATATGCTTAACCAAAAAAGTAATGCCTAGATTTCTCAAAATCTTGCTTTTGTGCTGAAGAATGTAATTTCTCTGCTTTTTATATCCAAAGATTGAGGGACACACAACTTTTCTGATATGGCAGGCTAAAATAATCAGCAAAATGTAAGTGGACCAAATTGTAAAAGCCTGCATTTTAGTACTATACTGAAATACAAATACTTCTCTGTATAATATAAATAATATAAAAACTTCTCTGTGTGCTATGTAATCTACCTTAGAGCAAAATAAATAATTGGATATTTAGGGCAGAGGTAATCCTACATTGTGATTCCTATTTGTTAATTTTTAAACAAATTTTCTTTAGTTATTTCAGTGGTTATTTTTGTTCTTCACCACTCAAAGTGGTTTTTCAGTGTTATGAGTTTGGAGGAGATTTTTGTTAAGTACGATTCCTACTTTTTCAATTTAACAGAAATTAGTGTACGTTTTCCTTATGGTGTGTATGTCTTGATTATTGCTGTATAGGATATGACATTTGTATATACAAATTCAAGATTAAATACTGCAGTGTTATATTCTTGATTATTAATAAAAATACATTACTACCTTTTACTAGGTATTCCTTTGAATGTTATGCCCTGCTGCCTTTCTCTATTTTTGAATGTGAGTTATCAGAATGTAAATGATTTTTGTCTTAGAGAAAGTGTTTTTATTAAACATACAGACATAAAGCTCTTTTTTTTCTTTTTTTTCCTTCTTCCTTAAAAGTTTGCTTTTTCACTGCTGTATTTATGAAAATAAAGTTCTGTGTGGAAACCACTCCTACCTCTACTTGCCAAATCTGGTGCCTTTCAGTTTTCTCTGCATTTAACCTTGCATTACAGTTATTCAGTCAGTCTTTTTCATTCTTTCTTCAGTGATAGCTTTGCATACTCGTGGGTTTCAGTTGGACGGTCATTGCAAAAATGCTTGTGGCTCTTTTAAGATCTTGCCACTTTTCTGCCAAATATGCTGCCTTAACAGATGAGCTTGCAAAGCTGATGGTATGAAGTCTCTTCATGTGCAAAGTCAATGTGGATTAAAGAACCTGTAGTGGGAGTTAAAATAATCTGGTTTTAAATTGTGTAGATGAGGCATGTTCACATGATTGTTCTGATGGCTCAGTGTGTTTTCTCAAGATGCAGTGAGCCAAGTTACCAGTTCACTGCTGATGGAAATGGGAAGTTCTGTTTCTGCCCAGAAATCTGCTGGCTTTGTGCAGTTTCTGCCGCTTGGTCAACTTATGTGAGCTGATTTAACCCAATAAAACAGGAGAAAGCAAACTTAAAAATGGAGGAGGGAGTTTTGTGGGGCATTTGTGAGTCAAATTGGCTTGCAGAAAGGCATGTGGGCCAGAGCTACTGCAAAATGAAAGGGTAGGTCATGAGGCCATGGGTTAGGGAGCAATGTTAAGATTTTAAGTAGCAGTAAATCATTAGATCAACCTTCTGCATAGTTAAATCTTTGAAGGAGAAAGAAGGAATGAAGGTGGCACTATCAAATCCTACAGACAAGTAGGAATTTGCTGCTTTAGTAATGGGATATGGTGAAGGCAATACAAATTAATCATGTATGGAAAATAAACCAGTTGCTTTCAATTGCTCCTTTGTGTTACAGAGTAAGTGTTCATGCAATGAAAAGCACAGATGATCATGTCCAAGTAATATACACAATCTGGAAAAGTCTTACCCAGAACACATTGGAAAAGAATAAGTTTTATAAAGGTTGAATGTTCCTATAGGTAACAAGTTCACTGTCTCTTCTTTCTCTCCCTTTTAACAATATAGATTATTTGGAGGAAATATATTCTTCAAAGACCAGTAACTCATCTGGGCAATGGCCCTAGATGTTGCTCAACTGGGTGCTGACCTGTTTGTCTTGATCAGCTGTTTACTTGTCAAAGGAGAGAATTTGCCTTGCTAAGAATTTTTTGTGTGTTTCTTTGGGACAGACAGATTTTGGTGCCTGAAATGGTTTAACTGGAAAAACTCAGTGTTTTATTTTCATATAGGCGTATCCTCTCCTGTGGAGAATTCTCAGCTGAGAACTTGAGGGAGTAGAAGGATTTGGGACTGAACTCATGGATCGAGGGCCTGGGGGTTTAAGCTGGTTGCCAGCCTGAGACATTTACATGGCAGGATTTGGGAAAATGTTCCTGGTAGAGGAAACTGCTAGCAAAGACACAACCAAATGTAAGAGGTGATGTTTTGAGTGAGCTCTGTGCCTGTTCCCCTGTTACTTATGAGCTTTCACTGAAAAAGTAGATTCTTGGGAGAATATTCCCTGAAATACTGTCAGGATTTCTGTTTTAGATGAAGCTGAGAAATTATGATTAAAGCTTTTGCTCAGCCACAGTGGGGCATGTAGTAGTTGTTGGCTGGTCTGCATATCCTTCTGTTTTGCTACATGAAACAATAATGTACATAATACTTTCAGTTATATTAGTAGGCATGTAAGTGTCAGCTAAAAGCTGGTCATTAACTGAAGAAGCTGAGGATGAGGTCTGCTTTTGTCGAAGGCTTTGCACAACACTTACCCTTTCTGCAACATTTGGTTCTGGGGACTGCAAAAACATGAATGCATGAGTTGTACTGCTTGTCAGTTCAGAAATAATGAGGACCCTTTCTAAGTCTGCAAACTCTTCCTACAGGACATAAATTATAGCAGAGTTTGCCATTTGAAATGGAAAAGTACAATGAGTTTCTTAATTGGGCCATTTCTCCTCAATTAGTTTTGCCAGACAAACTTCTGCTCTACAGGAGTTCCTTGTGAAACCTGTATTTCAGGCAACTAACCAAAAGCATCTCATGAGGGAAGAAACACAGTAACACAGTGCAATGTCTTTAATAAGGTCCTGTTTTCTTTAGCTCCCCAGTTGTATCAACTCTGGAACAGATACCCAGAACCAAATTTGTGGTCATGACCACCAAGAGGCCTATAAACCAGATCAAAAACCCAAAGAGGCAGAGAGACAAGAAAGACTAGGGGAAAAGAAGACAAAAAAAAAAAATAGTAAAGTTGTCAGGCTGTTGTTTGGCTGACTTCTTTTAGTTTTACAGCATAAGAAAAGCAAGCAAAGCAAAGCTCCCTTTTGCCTTGTTGCAGTTATACCTGGCCTACACCCTGCAGTTTAACACTTTTCCACCCTAAGTGCTCCTCCCAGGCATAGTCCAACCTCGAAGTGATGGGGGTTAGCCTTGGTGTGCCCTTGGGCAAGGCGGTGCCACCCATCACTAGGGATGCCATAATTACCCTCATTCTCTCTGAAATGTCTGGCTTAGCGTGCGTTTGGAATATCAGTGTGGCTTGCAGAAGACAGTGTGCAACATGAAGGCTATATCCTGTAATAAACTGGTAATTGGAAGGGATAGTATAATAACTGGTAGCAAGTCTGAGTAAGATATCACACATGAAATTGTTTATGCTGAATTTCTTTGTTTTTTTAAAAGAAAATTCTTCATAAATTGTTTTATTCAAATCATTCTGTAGCCTGTGATCGAATACCTACTTCTTGCCTTCCAGGTGCCTCATGTTAATACCACATGAAAAGGATGTTAATGAATGGCCTCTGCTCACTTTCAGACATCTAGTAAAAGCCAGGTTACCCGGAACACTCGGCATCCCAAAGTTCCCACTGTGACAAGTAAGGCCATGTTTTGAAAAGGAGCCCATCCATAGACCCACGCACCCTGTAATTTCTTGCCACAGAAAACCATGGGATCATCCTTGCAGCTAATGAAGCCGCAACTTAAAATGGCTCTGCCTCCTTCTTCCAGTGAAAGGTTGCTACAAAGCATCAATGCTGTGAGGATTAAGTAACCTTCTAATTTCCAACATAAACATATTCATGAGAAGCTTTTCTTCTCTCCTAGTGTGTAGTCTAGAATATATTTATAGGCTACAGCTGAACTGCCTTTCAGCTCCTGTTTTGCTTGGCTAATGAGCAAATACACCCAAACAGGCTGAGCTCCTTTGAAAATCTCTACTCTCTGAAACCAAAGCAAATCCATAATAGTATTTTTCATTTTTTTTTTTCAGGAGTTTTTCTAGTTCTGAATGTATCTAAAGCTAAAACTTCCAACCTGAAGTAGGAGTGGGTACATGTACATTGTTTGATGCATTGTTTCAAAGGAAGTCTAAAAAAAATAATATCACATCTGTAGCAGTGCAATTGTAAAAAACTGAACTGAATTTTTAGTATTTTATTCATGGCATTGTCTTCATGCCCAGCCTGCTTTGCCACTTACATTTTCTAACAGTCTAATTTTGAGTGACCTGCAGAAAGGGAGTGGAAACATTTTCACCCTCTGTTAGGTTTTTTTGCATCAACAGTCCTGGATTGTTGTTTGAAGGAACCACATGTGAGTGGTTCTTAGACCAGAAGCTGTCACTGATCATTTCACTTGGCTGAAGTATGAGTTTATTTAGGCAAGTACAATAGTATCCAAACTAGATTAAAAGCTGCCCCAGGGAGAGTCCACCCCAATTCATGACAAAGATCTTTGAAATCATCAATTAAAACAGGAGACTGCTTATGAAGTGTGTCCTTAGTGTAGAAGGATGATTTACATTGCTATAATGTATAGATATGCCTTCAATTTGAGTTATTAGGAGTACTACACTCTTAAGAAAAAATATCTCATAACCTACAAAACATCTTGCTGAACATATACACACAAGCGAACATTCATATGGTATGTGTGCTGCAGTTTGCAACCTTCTCCAAATTATAAATTCAAAAAAATGCATAAGACAAAATCTATTGACAACGGTTGCCTTTCGGGAGCTTCTAGAAGTATGCCAGGGATCACTAGGAGTCTGCAGAATACTAGTTTTAAGGTGACGCCCTGCAAGGCTCAAATAAGTTTACAGCAATGAGGGCAAATAGTCTTAAAAAAAAAAAAAATACACTGAAATGCAGTAAAGCTAGTGGCTGCTTTGGGAAGCCTCAGAACAGCTTCATTCCAACTCAGTGTTTTGGAACATTTCTCAGCATTCCTGTTTTCAGAGAGAAGCCAATTTATCATCTCTTTTATTTCTACAGAGCTAATGTGTTTCTGATGTATTTTGTCTCTGTTTTTCATTATAACCCTTTATTTTAAAGTTTTGTGGCGGGTTTCTTAATTTCTGTTTCTGGCCCATCTTGTTCTTCCCAAGCACAAGTTCCTTCCCAAGTTGTTAATTCTTTTGTGGACATTGCCTCCACCACTTCACCAGTGTCTGAGTTCTTTCTCTGTTCTGGTGGAAACTTTATGTTCAAGATGCATTTGTTAGTTGATGTCTCTGTCAAAGATCAGTTTTTCTTAGTCAGACCTGGAGACTCTGAAAAAATACATGCATGCCCCATGAGCTCTTCTGTCATGGATTTCTGGGACCAAGACTCTGGTAATTGTGAAGAAACTGTTTAAACTAAGATACAAGACAGCTGAGAGGGCTTTTATGAGCTTCATTCCTGGTACAGAAAAAGACAACATTAGGAGGTTGCAACAGCAGATAAAAAAAAAAAAACATGAGAGAGTAGAAGAATAACCAACATGGTAACTAAGAAATACTACTGCTGATATACTCAACTG